TGAAAATCTGTCTCCTATGAGGATCTGTCCCCCTCGATGTATCTGCACATGTGCCGGAGATCGCCGATCGGCTGCTAATGCCTGAAACTGGCACATGCGCAGATACGTCGAGGGGGACAGATCTTCATAGGAGACAGATTTTCATGTTACACCGGAACGGCGCGGGAACACGGCGAGAGGAACGCGCGGAGCAAAGGTAAGTGAATTGACACAGGGGGGACTTGGGGACTTAATATGGGGGATGAATTAATATGGGGAATGAATTACTATAGGGGGGATGAATTACTATGGGGGATGAATTACTATGGGGGATGAATTACTATATGGAGGGATGAATTACTATATGGGGGATGAATTACTATGGGGGATGAATTACTATATGGGGGATGAATTACTATGGGGGATGAATTACTATATGGGGGATGAATTACTATGGGGGATGAATTACTATATGGGGGATGAATTACTATGGGGGATGAATTACTATATGGGGGATTAATTACTATGGGGGATGAATTACTATATGGGGGATGAATTACTATATGGGGGGTGAATTACTATGGGGGATGAATTACTATATGGGGGATGAATTACTATGGGGGATGAATTACTATGGGGGATGAATTACTATATGGGGGATGAATTACTAGATGGGGGATGAATTACTATATGGGGGATGAATTACGATGGGGGATAAATTACTATATGGGGGATGAATTACTATATGGGGGGTGAATTACTATGGGGGATGAATTACTATATGGGGGATGAATTACTATGGGGGATGAATTACTATGGGGGATGAATTACTATATGGGGGATGAATTACTATATGGGGGATGAATTACTATATGGGGGATGAATTACTATGGGGGATGAATTACTATATGGGGGATGAATTACTATATTGGGGGTGAATTACTATGGGGGATGAATTACTATATGGGGATGAATTACTATGGGGGATGAATTACTATATGGGGAATGAATTACTATGGGGGATGAATTACTATATGGGGGATTAATTACTATATGGGGGATTAATTACTATGGGGGATGAATTACTATATGGGGGATGAATTACTATATGGGGGATGAATTACTATATAGGGGATGAATTACTATGGGGGATGAATTACTATATGGGGGATGAATTACTATGGGGGATGAATTACGATATGGGGGATGAATTACTATATGGGGGATGAATTACTATACGGGGGATGAATTACTATGGGGGATGAATTACTATATGGGGGATTAATTACTATGCTTACTATGGGGGAATATTACTATACTTACTATGGATGACACATACACATCATTCATCTACTCTTGGTCCGGCCCCCGGGTCCAATATATGAACCCATTGCGGCCCTCAAGTCAAAAAGTTTGCCCACCCCTGACCTATATGATAGCAAGCAGGGGCGGATTGAAAACTCATGGGGCCCCAGGGCAATAGGGGATCATGGGGCCCCCGTATCCTTGCCCAAACTCAAAAAAGCCTATGAAAAAGGTACCAGGGGCATCTTATGGGGCCCCCTACTGACCCCGGGCCCTCAGGCAGTGCCCGAGTTTCCAAATGGTCAGTCCGCCCCTGATAGCAAGAAGGTAACTAGACTTCAACGACTTGCCGTCCGCCAATAGTACATTTGATTCTGGTGGGCGGCATCGCAAGGCACCACATCGTACCCGTAGCGGCAATGGCACGATTTTGCAACTGCTGTGTCCGGTGGACACAACGGATCACAATGCTCAGTCCCTGGCCGCTGTGAGTAGCCGGGGTATCACGTAATCACTATGACCAAGCAAAACTGTCATGAATGGCTTCCATTCATCACAGCTTGCCTACTATTGTGATGCTGTGAGTTGCCAAGAGTTATCACATGCTATTTCGAACCCTGTATCATGTTATTCACTGTAGCCAATCACAGCATCACAATAGTAAGCATGCTGTAGAGAATGAAAGCCAGTTAAAAAATTAAATACAAATATTATTTATTTCTTTAGACACTGTTACCAGTCAGTATCCCTGATCTCTGCAACACCAGTCATATGATAACGCTGCACTGCACTGGTGACAGAATGTAAAAAAGAAAATGTGAAAGAAAAAAAAACACATTTTATTTAATTTCTTCATTTTACAAAACATTGTGACAAAAAATTACAACTGTAAAACACTCGCCATGCCTCTTATTAAATACCTTGGACTGTCTACTTTAAAAAAAGGGGTCAGTTGGGGGTATGTGTACTGTCCTGACATTTTAGGGCCTCAAGAAATGAGATAGGCCATCACTACATCAGGATTGATCCATTTTTTACAAATACAGGTGAAACTCGAAAAATTAGAATATCATGCAAAAGTTCATTTATTTCACTAATGCAACTTAAAAGGTGAAACTAATATATGAGATAGACTCATTACATGCAAAGCAAGATAGTTCATAGATTTTCCTTAGAATTAGTCCCACCCAGCCCTGTGCTTACCATACTGCAACCCTTATTTATTTCGATGGTTGGGCCCTTACTCACAGCCATCCATAAAAATGAGGACCCAGCCATACGAGTGGGCCTATTTTAAAGCTCAGACTGTCAGCTCTGGACAGGGCCATACAGTGCAGATCTGTTTTATGCATAGTTTTTAGTCTGGGTACTCCTGCAAATTAGAATAGGAGGGTATTTTACCAGTGAACCTTGAAGTGGCAGTTTAACATCTAATACATTTGCATTTGTATGCAAACAATGTCAGTTTTAAGTTCAAATGTTTCACATAGATCCTAGTAAGAGTCTCTTTAATGTCTAGAAGAATTAAAGTGATTGTAAAGGCATTTTTTTTATTAAAATAAAAAAAGATATTATACTTACCTGCTGTGTGCAATGGTATTGTACAGAATGATTCCTTACCTTATCATCTGGAGTCCCCCTCTCCTCCTCCTGGAGTCTGCTCCTCCTTTCCTGTGGGTGTTCCCCCAGCAGGTTGCGTGCTGAAAGGGCATCCATGCAAGCTCCCTTCTGAGCTGGTCTGCGTTCATCCATAGACACACACAGCACTGCTCAGTCACGCCCCTCGCTCCCTCCTCACAGGATTTGACTGACAACAGCAGTAGCCTATAGCCCCTGCTGCTGCCTGTGTCTCATTTGAGACTAAGAAGTGAAGGAAGAAGAGCTGCAACTGGGACAGTGCTGGATCATGAAAGGAATCAGGTTAGTGTTTAGGGATGGGGGGAGGAAGGAACAAGTAGTAGGGAATTTTTACCTGTATTCAAACAATAAATTAGTGTTAAACTAAAATGTTACACAGATCCTAATAAGAGTCTCTTTACTGTCTAGGAGAATTAAAGTGATTGTAAAGGCAAATGTTTGTAGTTGTCAAGGTCCTACCTTTTCCCTGAGGTTATGTTACTCCATGTGCTGGCGTCCATCTTGGATTCTGCTGTGCATGATGGGAATCCTTTTATGCCTTCAGGTTTCTGTGGTCCATCCCCCAGAGGGGTGTGGCTGATGACATATAAGCCTGTGGCCCGCACATGCTCTTTGCACTTGTGTCTTTGTGTTGCTATTACTCTGTTCTGACTCTCGTGACTCTCCTGGTATCTGATTCGGCTTGTGACTTGACTATTCTTTGTATTCTCCTTTGATCTGACCCTCTGTTGCTGAACCCGGCTCGTGACCTGTGATTCTCGTCTGCTGTCCTGTACTGTTTTGTCCTGTTGTTGTTGACCCCGGCTTGTCTGACTACTCTTTTGTCTCTTCCACCAGCTACACGCCATTGGCGGCGGCCATTACCGCAGCTGAGGTGTCTCGGGGGCCGCGACCTGGTTCCTGGCTGCGTCAAGTCCATCCCCACCATCAGGGGCCCTGGTGAAGGGCATCCTGGGACTTAGACTCCGCGCCCTGAGGGACTTCGGTCTGTGGGTGGTGGTTGTCGTCAGCCAGTGCGTTACATTGTTAGGCCTGCCTGTCCGTTCCTCAGCTCCTGCCCTGACAGTAGTCAATTAAAATAAAAAAGATTTTATACTTACCTGTTCTGTGAAATGGTATTGCACAGAGTGGTCCCTTACTTCCTCTTCTGGTGTTCTCTACTGGTCCTTTCCTTTCCTGCAGGTGCCGTGTGTTGACGAGTCACCTGTTTGGGCATGCTCCCTCCATGTCCATAGACACAAACTGCGGCTCAGTTATGCCCATGGTGAGCACGGGATCCAACTGACAGCAACAGAAGCCTGTGGCTTCCTCTGCTGCCTATGTCTTCTGTGAGACCAGGAATTGAAGAGAGAAGGACTGCGACTGGGACAACGCTGGATCATGAGAGGAGTCAGAGAAGTATTTAGGGATTGGAGGAGGAGTGGGGGGCACAAGTAGTTGGGAGTTTTTTACCTTAATGCAGAGAATGCTTTAAGGTAGAAAACAGAATGTGACTTTGGAGCCACTTTAAGCAATCAGGACATATTTTATTGCTCATTTCTCTTCAATTTCATTTTGATAAAGGAGATTTGCATCAGGAACCAGGCTTAATATGCAAGTATGCACTAGCTCTCTAGCCTTCTCAACTGCTCTGTACTATAACCCCACCACCACAGGCTATCAGAGCAGCAGCTTTGTTTACAGCCTTCTCTCCTTTCAAGTCATTCCTTGAAAACAGTTCACTGGTTCTTTAAACTTGCTGATCATTCAGAATTAAGCCATCTCTTCTTTTACACTAGATGGCAGTGTTGTAATATATTTTGCTAAACCCCGTCAGCTTCTATTTTGGAGATTTCGAAAATGTCTTCCAGACATTTTCCTTGTGGGCAGTGTACATATAGGATGTCTGCTTACTTTGAGATTCCTAGGTGGTTGCTATGTTTAATCATGTATCCATTTCCAATTCAATAACAAATCACGGATGGACACCAGAATATATTTTAGTGATTGCTTCACTGAATAAAATGTGATTACATATTTTGTGCACTGTTTGCGACAGGACATATAACAACAGCAATGTTTATATTCTTCTGTGATAGGTTCCAGGGTTCTCATTTTTAGTCAAATGACTCGACTGCTCGACATTTTGGAGGATTACTGCATGTGGCGTGGCTATGAATACTGTCGGCTAGATGGACAGACGCCACATGAAGAAAGAGAGGTAAAATCAGATACCCTTTTCCTGCAGATATACAGAGCTCGATTAAAGGATTTTACAACCCTGTTTGGCATCTTATCTGTGCTTTATACACTGTGATACCTAATGGACCAATTTACCTGTGAAGTTTCTTAATAAGGTTTCAAAGCTGTAGAGAGATCATTTGAACATATAGAGAAATAGCATCTGTCTGCACAGTAAACATTCCTGCTTTGATTATAATTCATGTTTTTTATATATATAAATATGTTCCTGCTTTGTTAATAATTTGATTATCATTAAATGCATTTCACTCCATCCACTGAAAGCTCTATATGCACTTTTGGGATACATTGACATCCAGGACCTAAAAATGGTGATCAAACATTTTTTAAGCTACATACAATTCTCAGAATCTGCAGTTATATGCACTTTCTCAACTATATTTGAAAACGTGTCTAAATAGTTATTGTATGCAGTGTCTGGTGAGAAACTAATATAGTGATTGTTTAACAAAAAAAACACTGTTATTAGCTTAAAATATAGTGCACAATATTAGCAGATGTTTGAAAGGGGTACTGGGAAATAGAGTATCTGGTCACATTAGCAATAGACTTCAACAGGGTCACTTTACAGTCGCCATAGGATGGCTCTCCAAATTGGTACCTCTATTTCCTCCTCTTTTGCCATTGGTAGGGGAACCAGGCAGGGGTGGCCCCTTTCTCTCTTCCTGTTCTCCTTAATGATAGATAGATGTGGAGCATTGTATGCAGACGACCTACTGCTTTTTTGTAAAGATCTAGGCCCCTCTGTTAGAGCGTTGCTTCATATACTAGATTAATTTGCTATTTTTCCTGGCCTTCTGGTGAATAATCTGCTGTTAGACCCCAGGACTAGAGCTACAGCGGACAGTACCCTACAGCTCCATTGGGTTTCCCAGTTCACCTACAGTTAGGTTCATATATGTTTGGACACAATTTGGCACAATTTTTGATTTTTCAGGTATTTTAAAACATATTCAAGCTATAGTTATATAATGGATATGGGATGAAAGTACACACTCTCAGGTTTAATTTTAGGGTATGCACATCCAAATTGGAGGAAGGGTTTAGGAATTAGAGCTCTTAAGAGTAGCCGTTCCCCCTTTTTCAAGGGACCAAAAGTAATTGGACAAATGAATATAATCATAAATACATCCAAATTGCATGTACATACCCTCAAATTAAACTTGAGTGTCCCCACTTTCAGCCCATATCAATTATATAACTATTGCTTGAATATGTTTTGGTAAATATATATGGACCTAACTATATTTGGGTGTTTGTGTCTCAGCCAGGGTCGCAGATTATTTTTCCTTAAATTTGAAGCCATTGTTAGAACTTTTGACAAGAAAAGCTGAGACATAAATGAATGTTCCTTTATCACTTCTGGGGCATATTAAAAACTTGCCCTCCTGAGGATTTACCCCCCTTCCTTACCAGGCCTTTGTTTGCTATTCGGTGCTGCACTATTTCAGCTGGTAATTGCATGGTCATGCAATGATGTACCCAAACAAAATTTACGTCCTTTTTTTTCACAGAAAATAGAGCTTTCTTTCGATGGTATTTGATCACCTGTGTGCTTTTTATTTTTGGCGCAATAAACAAAAAAAACACCAAATTCTTTTAAAAAAAATGATATTTTTTACTTTTGGCTATAAAAATATATAGTAAACCTAAAGTTAATCATAAATTTAGGCCAAAATGTATTCTGCTACATGTTTTTGGTAAAAAAAAATCCCAAAAAGTTTATATTGATTTGTGTGATAGTATAGTATCTACAAACTATGGTATAGATAATGGAATTTACACAGCTTTTACTTTCTGACTGCCTATCACATTTCTTTAGGTGGTAAAATACCAGGACAGTACAAACTCCCCCAAAGGACCCCTTTTCGTAAAGTAGACACCCTGAGCTACCTGCTGAGAGGCATATTAAATCCATGGAAAAATTTTTTTTTTGGAAAATGACAAAAACATTTTTTTTTTTTTTTATTTACACAAAGTTGTCACTTAAATGGTATATTGCTCACACAAGCCATGGGTATATGTGGAATTATACCCCAAAATACATTATGCTACTTCTACCAAGTATGGGGATATCACATGTGTGAGACTTTTTGGGAGCCTAGCCACATACAGGAGTCTGAAATCCAATGACCACTTTGAAAGCCTGAAGGTGCGTAACTTCCTCATTTCACTTCCTCACTACCTATCACAGTTTTGGAGGCCCTGAAATGCCAGGATAGAACCAACCTCCCCCCCCCATATGACCCCTTTTTGGAAAGTAGACACCCCAAGGAATTTAAAAAGAGGCATGGTGAGTATTTTACAGATCTAATTTTTTCTCACACAAGGTTTTGAAAGATAAAAAAAGAACAGAAAAAAAATATGTTTTTGTTTTCTTTCTTCATTTTCCAAAAACTTGTGGCAACAAACGAGATCTGAAAAATACTCACCATGCTTCTTATCATATTCCTTGGGGTGTCTAATTTCCAAAAAGGGTCATTTGTGGGGGGTTGGTGCTATCCTGGCATTTCAGGGCCTCCAAAACTGTGATAGGTAGTCAGAAAGTGTAATGAGGAAATAAAGCCCTTTAAAAGCCCGAAGGTGCTTTTTGGATTTTGGGGTCCTGTACTTGGCTAGACTGCCAAAAAGTCTCTCACATGTGGTATCTCTATACTCGGAAGAAGTAGAAGAATGTATTTTGGGGAGTAATTCCACATATATCCATGGCACGTGTGAGCAATAGATCATTCAAGTGACAATTGTGTGTAATTTTTCAAAAACTATTGACTCAACATGCCTCTTAGCAAATAGTTTGGGGTGTCTACTTTCCAAAAAGGGGTTGTTTTGGGGGGTGGGGGCATTTTATGCCCAGCATTAGAAGTTTATGCCACACATCACTCACTTTTCTAACCACCTGAAGACCAAGCCTTTTCTGACACTTTGAGAACATGAAAAAAATCTGTATTTTTTGTTAGAAAATAACTTAGAACCCCCAAACATGATATATTTTTTAAAGCAGACACCCTAGTGAATAAAATGGTGGGTGCTGCAATTTTTTATGTCACGTAGTAATTGCGCTTCGATTTTTCAAATTCAAATGTTTTGAAAAAAAATACACTTTTCTTTACTTTTAATGCACAAAAACACGTAATATAGGCCATTTATTTGGTAACATATAAAAGATGATGGTATGCCGAGTAAATAGGTCCAAACATGACATGTTTTAAAACTGTGCATGTCCCGTGCAATGGCAAGAAAACTGCATGCATTTTTTTATCCATAGGCAATGCTTTATAAGCCTTTACAAGCTACCATTTTAGATTTACAGAGGTCTAGTGCTAGAATTACTTTACGTGATCTAACGTTTACGGTGATGCCTCCCATGCATGGTGCAACCGCTGTTTACATACTGGCACAGGGTCAATGCTCACGCACTCAGGTGCAGGGGGGTGAGGGTGCTTTTTTTTTTCAAGTTATTTTAATTTTTTAAAATTATTTTTACACTGTCCCTATAACTTCAGTGGGCTTTGTCATATATTCTTTTTTGAGAAATATGGGGTCTATCAGATATTTCCTCTTACATTATCTAATCTCACCGAGATTGTTGTGATCAGATGCTTTCCCAATTTACAAATGGCGCTGTTTATATCCTGTGAAACTGAAGTGATTAAATGCTTGCAGCTTCTGATTTCTTAGACTGTAGAGATAAATTGGCACCATTCCGGTCTCCAATCAGCTCTATGGTCAGCTGGCAGAAACACCGGCTGCATTCTCAGGTACCCCCGATGGGACGGGACTGCCTGAGCAGGCCATGGAAGGCAGTGGGGGAGGGGGGGAAATTTTCTCTCGCTGCTTGTAAAAGTAATCCTGCAGCTAATTAGCTACTAGGATTGCTTTTACGTGAAAGCTGATCGCCGGCTGAAAAAAATTATAACCACTTAAAGTTCAGTGATGTACCAGTACGTCGTTGGTCCTTGTTGGGTGTATATGCTATGTTCTTTTTTTTTTTTCTTATACAGCCTGTGGGCTGAATGAAAAAAAGAGAAGAAATCTCTGCCAGAAAAAGTGTGACCCTGTTGCTGTCAGAATAAACAAGTCAGTGCTGCAGCTGAATGACATCCTTATTTCTAAAGCAGGCTTTTTCCCCCCTTTCTAAGATGGGTATTTACAAGCCGTTGGGAGAAGCCCCAGCGATTAGGTTGCACGGTGCCACATGCACTAATTCCAAGATTGTACAAATGTCTAAATAGTGGCACGCTTTAATAAAAATTGTCCACGTATAAGTGGTACCCCATATGGAAAAAGGATGACACCAAGTCCCAAACTTTCTTGCCACTGCTCCCCATGTAGTCTGGGCATCTGGGGGTCTCCACGTGTCTATCTTTTCCCTTGTAAATCCAAGACTTATATGTATAGCCTGTTGCCCTCTCACAGGTCTTATACATCTTGACACCATATCTGTCCCACTTGTTGGGTAGAAATTGTTTGAATGCAAAGCGACCAGAAAAATGAATGAGGGACTCATCAACGCAGATGTTTTGCTGGGCAGTATAGTCATCTGCAGATTTTTGATTAAAGTGATTTAAGAGGGGCCGAATTTTGTGGAGCCGGTCAAATTCAGGGTCACCCCAAGGACGACAGAGTGTGTTGTCATTGAAATGCATAAAACACATTATACTCTCATATCTATGCCTGGCCATGGCAGCAGAGAACATGGGCATATGATGAATCAGGTCTGTGGACCAATACAGCCGCAATTAATTTTTTTTAATGATGCCCATGTTGAGGTTAGGCCCCAAAAAAACCTTAACTTTCAGAAACCTTACTGGATTCCCATGCGAATGGTCTGGCAAGGTTTGAATTTGGGTTGGTGGCGATAAACAGTTGTGCATATGAATTACTTTGATCCACAATCAATGCATACAGATAGATCTTCTGTGAAAATCAGCTCCAAAAAATCAAGGGGAGTATTTAAAT